GTGTATTTCGATGCCAATAACATAAGAAGCCTCTCCGAGATCTTTCATGTCAAAATTACACGAGAGTAAGCGCTTGGACTCATGCAACATGTCTAAACTATTACTTGCCAATAGAATGTCATCTACGTAAAGGACAAGTATAGTAAAGTTGCTCCCACTCATCTTGAGGTAGGTGCATTGATCCACTTGATTCTTTATGAAACCTTCTGACTTCAAGACTTGATGCAACTTTAGGTACCATTGACGTGATGCCTGCTTCAACCCGTATATGGACTTCTTTAGCTTACAGATTAAGTGCTCTTGACCTTCAGATTTGAATCCTTTGGGTTGTTTCATGAACACTTCTTCATCCAAATCGCCATTAAGGAAAGCGGTTTTGACATCCATCTGTAGCTCTAAGTCAAAGTGAGCTACAAGGGCCATAACGATCCTTAAGGAATCCTTTCGAGAGACAGGAGAAAAGGTCTCTTGATAGTCAATTCCCTCTTTCTGAGTGTAGCCCTTTGCAACCAATCTCGCTTTGTGGCGTTCAATGTTTCCATTCGGGTCCAGTTTTGTTTTGAAGACCCATTTACATCCTAGGGGTTTTACACCGTTGGGTAATTCAACCAAATCCTAAACATCATTTTTCTTCATGGAGTCAAGCTCTTCAATCATGGCTTTACTCCATTCAGAAGACTGATCACTATTAATGGCTTCATTATAAGAGGTAGGATCAGTAAACTTTCCAGCATCCATTTCTGCTTCAGTCAGGTAGGTAACATAATCATCAAAGTTAGTAGGCCTTTTAGACCTAGATGACCTCCTGAGCAAATTATCGGGTTGAGCATTGGCGGCATTGTCTTGANGACGTGGGAAGGACAATAAAATCTGTAACCCTTTGAGTGAGAAGGATAACCAATGAAGTAGCAAGTTACAGTTTTCATGTCGAGTTTCTTCAAGAAGGGATTATAAAGTTTTGCTTCGGCAAGACAACCCCATACTTTCATATATCTTAGACTCGGTTTCCTTCCTGTCCAGAGTTCATAAGGAGTTTTAGGGACAGCTTTAGAAGGAACCCTATTGAGTATATGAACGGTTGTTTTTAAGGCCTCAGTCCAAAGAAATAGAGGTAAACCTGAGTTGGCTAACATACTGCGTACCATGTCCATTAGGGTCTTATTTCTTCTCTCAGCAACACCATTCTGCTGAGGAGTACCAGGCATAGTATATTGGTTCACGATCCCCTGGCCCTTACAAAACTCATAAAATGGACCAGGAGCTTGACCCACATCAGTATGTCTACCATAATATTCACCTCCTCTATCTGATCTTACAACTTTTATCTGACGATCAAGTTGCTTTTCAACTTCAGTTTTATAATCTTTAAAAGTTGTAAGTGATTCAGATTTTTCCTTAATGAGATACAAGTACATATAACGAGAATAATCATCAATATAAGTGATAAATGAGTTATGTCCAGTTATGCCAGTGATAGAGTAAGGACCACTAATGTCAGTGTGAATGAGCTCTAATAAATTAGAACTCCTAGTGGCACCTTTCTTATTCACTGATGTCATTTTACCTTTAAGGCATTTGACACATGTTCCAAAATCATTGAAATCGAGAGATGGTAACACTTCATTCTTCACGAGTCTAGATAAACGTTCTCGTGAAATGTGGCCTAAGCGTTGATGCCACAACATGGATGAAGTTTCTAAGTCTCGTTTTCGTTTTCTCTTTGTTAGTGTCTGATTGATATTATATGACAACAAAGATTTGGAAAAATCATCATCTAGTTCTAATTTATAGAGACCACCATCCAGAAAACCATGACCAAACACTTGAGAATTGAAACTAATAGTAAGTCTG